AGAGAGAGAGAGAGAGAGAGAGAGAGAGAGAGAGAGAGAGAGAGAGAGAGAGAGAGAGAGAGAGAGAGAGAGAGAGAGAGAGAGAGAGAGAGAGAGAGAGAGAGAGAGAGAGAGAGAGAGAGAGAGAGAGAGAGAGAGAGAGAGAGAGAGAGAGAGAGAGAGAGAGAGAGAGAGAGAGAGAGAGAGAGAGAGAGAGAGAGAGAGAGAGAGAGAGAGTAGAGAGAGAGAGAGAGAGAGAGAGAGAGAGAGAGAGAGAGAGAGAGAGAGAGAGAGAGAGNGAGGGAGAGAGAGTGGGGAGGATCAGATTGCGGGGACAACAAACAACGACAACAACTACTTAAACCACAATTTCAACATCCACTAAACAACAGGGCTGAGTCGGTGGAAGGGGTTCTAATTATGTGATGATTTAGGTCAAGAGGAAGAGACCAGAAAAAGAAGTGTCAGACAGCACAGCAGCTGGAGCTGGAGCCGGTGCCGGTTTGTCATCGATAGACTGACTGTCTGTCTGTCAGATTGCTAAAAGGTGAAATGCGCCCTGGAATTCCCTCTGGAATGATCGGCTTCCGACTACCGGTCTGGTGAATTGACAGAGTACAGTACGGAATAACTACAGGGCACTCCACCCTGTTGAACAGAAAACACAGAAAGAAAGGAACAAAATACCATAGGACCATAATGCGTTCAGGTCCATGCTTTTGATACGATTGAATTCCCCGACAAGGTATCGAAAGTCTGGTCCATTCAACTGGGTTCCATACCATATATTACAGCAGTACAGTATCTTTACCACGCCTGCTTAGCTTATGGATCTATCGGGACCTTGATTAGGCCGCAACCGCAATTGGTTTGATTGGACCTAGTAGTGACTTGATTGTTTACACTTGGCGCAGAGAAAGAGGTATTATACAGTGCAGTACAGTACAGTACAGTATCGGTCTACCTAATGATTTTCTATTTTCTAGAAGAATGCTTCTGCCTCGCTCATTTCTTCTGTCTCGCATTGTGGATGAGACTACGGAGTAGTCAAATGAGATTGAGCAGCAGTGCCTGAGCCTGCGATGGAACCATCATCCGTCGTTTTGGCCCCAATGCCGCTAAGCCTCGCCCGGGATGGGCAATTTTGGATGGGATAAATTGAATTGGTTCGCCGCTTTCTTTCTTTGTCTTGGTGTCGGGCTCAAGGCTGCGGCTGAACAGCGTCTGGTCTCCACCCGATCCCTGGCTTGATATATTTTCCGTACAGTATGATCAGTACATACATGTACTTACCCTTTCCCCATTTCAACTTACTTCCGACTCCGATTTTGATCCACCCTATATATTATCTAGTCTATACTGAATATTTCCAAGAAGGAGAAAGATTTCAGTGGCTTTCCTTGCGTGCCACCCAGTGCGATGGCCGGTACAACGGCAAAAGCATACTGTTGGGGTCCTGGATGTATCCACACAACGGCCGTTCGTGTGCCGGCTGACGCTGCTCGATCACGAAGCCCATCCGTTCCACGAGGCAGAACACTTCGGCCTCCGTCAACTCCACATTCCCTGGCTCGCTGATCCCCTGGTCCTGCGAGTCGTGGCTGTTCTCGTGGCTGCGGTTGGCCCCGTCCTCAAAATGCCATAGCAGCGGACCGACATTGATCCAGAGCCCGTTCGGCTTCAGGCAGTGATGAATTGTTTCGATATACCGGATCAGGTTCGGGGCGGTATCAATAAAGAAGACCGTCGCCACCGCATCGAATGCCTCTCGGTTATCAGGCTGGCGGTAAAGCACCACAAAGTCCGCCGCCGACATGCTCATCTGGCCGAAAGGGGGGCCCTCTGGGTTCTCCTGCGCTTCTGCCATCACAGTGCCCGGATGTTGGTCGGGGATCATCACTGTCTGGAGCTGTTGCTCCCGCGATAGAAGATTCGAGAAGTGCAGGGCAAAGGGGTAGAGCGTGTGCTTCTGAGGACCGAGGGTGTGGTTGAGAACCCAGCTGCTGGCCAAAAGCTGATGATAGGAGATCTCGTTGCCCTCGGGTGAGAAGCCTGCCCGAGCGATGTCAAAGACCAGGCGGCCCAGGCCAGCCCCGGGGACCAGCACCCTGATTTCCTGGCCCGCAGCGGTGCGCGCACCAAACTCGGTGCGCAAGTCCTGGAGGACCGGGTCATAGCAGACTTCTCTCTCGGCGCGCCCTTCGGCGCTCCAGTCGCGGTAGAACTGCCTCAAAGTCGAATGGGCCTTGTTGACATCGGAGGTGTTGGCCGTTCCGTGCCAATTCTCCCGGGGGTCCTCCGGGTTCGGGTCGAGCGACAAGCCAAAGGACGATAGGCCCGTAGCGAGAATCGCGTCCGCGATCTCCGCATTCATGTCGATAGCATCATCTACCCGGTTGAAGTTCTCCAGAATCGAGAAGGGCGGCTCAGCAAGCATCTGCCAATGCGCCGAGGGCAGCGCGTAGAATGCTTGTCGTCGCCGATGCGTTGTGTTCATATGCGCCGTTCTCCGATATTGTCTGCCATGGTCAGCAGATTCTCAAGTATTCAAAGCCATCATGGTGATGTGAAGCATGGATTTCGGAGAAGGGGGACCTTCCCCTCACTGTAGGACTAGCGTAGCGTAGAGCAAGAACCTAGTAATCATGGCTACATACAACCACGAACGATAAGATAGGACGGTGACACCAGAAGCTCCAGAAGCTCCAGCAGCTCCAGCAGCTGTACCACACAGACCATCCGCACGCACCTGAAGGAATCTAATGCAGCAAAAAGCACCCGCCGCTCATCGGCGTCGGCCAACGGGTCGAAGTCCCCGGCCCAGCTACGCACATCTTCCGAGTCATCGTGGGGTTCCGATTTGACGGAGTAGGTGATATCGTGTGACATGTTGAGATAAGACGATCGCTCCAGACATTCGAACAGGGAGTAAAGAACGACAAATGATCTCAGGCAGCGACAACACCAAGAACAAGAAATCCTAGCTCCAAGCAGAAACTCGCGTGCGAGAAAAATGACAAGCAATGAAGAGACTCCAAGCCGGAAGATGGAATTCGAGGGCCGCCCGCCGCGGAGAGACCCGCTTTCTTTTTCTTTTTTTTTTGTTTTTGGCGGGGAAAATGAGATTCCAAGTTCAATTGAAAGGCGCCTAGTCCAGAAGCGGAACGAGACCTCGCCCACTGGCAGTCCTTCCAGCCCATCTTCAATCTTTCTATACTTCGACTAGCAAAACAAACAGCTCTTTTCGGCTCATCGACAAGCAACCGATCTCTCGGCCTAGCAGATCTTGTAAACACTCAGGGCCTTTGATTCCTGGACCCAGGGAAATGGCGACAGCAGCAGAACCCATTCCACCCCGCCTCCACCCGCAGGAGATCTCCTTCCCACTGCCCAAGGCTCTTCACACGACAGCACATATTCATCTGACCTTGTTGGACACATGTGTCATGGTATTTCTCGCTACGTCGACCCCGGGCGACTCAGCGGGGACAGTGAAGCCGATGGGGAGTTTGATCTACGCGATGCCTGATGTAAGTGTAGTGGACAAATATAGATAGGTTTGCGTCATCAAAACAGGTCCCCATGCTCAGGAAGAACCTGAACCCATATGCTTTTACACACCTTGATTGATGGGGTCACCGAATCTTTCCTCACTCATACACGACTATTATACCTTCGCCCTCGATGCCCTCTACATCACATATATCCATATCATGCCCGTGCCCATGCCCATGCCCACCTACAACACCCCAGACGCAAGCCACCTGCAACTAACCAACAAACCCCTAGCTCAAATCTCCCACCACACCCCTCTCAACAACAATCTACTCCGCCCCCAACAGCGTGGAATACACCACCCGAGTCGCCAAGATCCTCGCCCGCAGGCTGCGCATCCCCGTCTACGTGGGGAGCAGCATCGACCCGACCTCGCTGAGCCTTCAGGTCGAGGAGGAGATGGAAGGATTACGCCAGATCGTGGAGGTGGTGGTGGAGCGGTGGAAGGATGCGAGGCGGTGATGTCTTTCTCTCCACTTTCTCACAGGTACTATCTGGAGCCTGTCTATCAGGCAGTGGAGGAGGGATGAGACCGTTACTGTTCAGCGAGCGAGGGTTTATTTATCCTAGGACATGGTGTCTAGAATGCGATTTTATGTTGCGTTCTGACGTTGTGGTTTCTCCATTCTGTCTTACCTCCGGGTCCGAGAGTGGTGGCGCGGTGGTCGGCATGGTTGATAGTTTTCAGTTTTGGGAGGAAGTGGTAGAGACCCTTGCGTAAAAGGTTGCGAGATGCTCCAAGGGTTCATGATCTGGAGTGCTTGAGATGATATGAATATGAGATTGACACCAGAAGGCAGGAAGAGGAATCGTATTCTGCAACCCGCATACGTGTTAGTATTATGATGAGTATTTCGGCATAGCTGGTAATGGGCATAAAGAACTGCGCAGCATGAATCACCATGGCACTTAGTATATGTCGCAGTCATTTGAGGTTCACCATTTGAAGGCTAGAGAGCACTAGGCTCTAGGGCGATAGCAGTAGTGAGAGCGATGCAGGCGAAGACCTAACATGCCCTCGAGCTTTGGAAGTTCGATAGCCGTCATCGTACACCCTAAAGATAGTGATTCGTCAACGGTAATGACCTTAATCATGAAAAGACGCAATTTGAAGGTTATATCAAGCCATCTCAGTAGGGTGTTCAAAGCATAGGTGGTATCACGCCCGGCTGCATTTCCATATGAGAAGAGAAAACCCACTAGTCCAATTCATTCATATATGTTCGAGACCCCTTGAGAAGATTCTCTTTCCCAGACGTCATTACTTTTTGTTTATTTGCCCCAAATCGAATGTAAAGCGCCACCCCCACCCCTCCCTGTCGGAGAAGCCCTTTTGCTGCAACGCTCAAACATCGTCAGATGGATGGACAGCTGCATGCACGAGTCCTAAAATATACTAACTAAGCAGCTACTGAATACCCCAGCCATTAAGGACAAGGATGATTACTATCCGCCGACTGTATCGGGAAATGTCCACGACTCAGGCAGGTAACTCCTGATAGGAAAGATTTCCCAATTTGGTAGATACCGGTAGTTTGCCGAGGGAGGCAAAAGAGAGAAGATAATCAGATTGACATCTCAAGCATCTCCTTAAATTGCGGGTCAATATAGGGCGAGATTGTCCCCTCCTCCCCAAATTGATCACGACATCTCGAATCCGCTAGGTCAGCTAGACTACTACAGTATAGTCCAGCCCGCAGGTCTAGCCACTGCCCTCATGCCACTGGCAAGTTCGGCCGAGGCTGGCCAACATGCGTAGAAGCGCGCTGGTTGTGGATTGGGCGAAGCAGTCCATCCCGCAGGTATGGCCATGAATCGTGGTAGATCGAATACGAGGCTAAGCAAACGACAATCCTTGGGAGAGGCAGAGACAGAACAAGGAGAGAGAGAGAGAGAGGAGGAGGAGGAGGAGGAGGAGGAGGAGGAGGAGGAGGAGGAGGAGGAGGAGGAGGAGGAGGAGGAGGAGGAGGAGGAGGAGGAAG